ATTGCCGAATATCACTATGGTCACCTTTGAAATATTCCCTTTGGGAAGCTATGCACTGATGCCACTGCCTAGTCCACTCTTCAAAACAATTTTGGAAGTCTTTTTCTGGAATGGCCATCAGAGCTGTCATCATATTACCCTTGATGTCCTGAATGTCATCAAAATGTCTTCTTTTCAATATTTCCTTTATCTGTGGGTAAAGAAAGAAGCCATTGGAGGCCAGGTCAGGTGAGTAGGGAGGGTGTTCCTATACAGTTATTTGTTTATTGCCTAAAAACTCCCTCATAGACAGTGCCATGTGAGCTGGTGCATTGTCGTGATGCAAGAGCCATGAATTACTGGCAAAAAGTTCAGGTCATCTAACTTTTTCATGCAGCCTTTTCAGCACTTCCAAATAGTAAACTTGGTGAACTGTTTGTCCAGTTAGCACAAATTCATAATGAATAACCCATCTGATATCAAAAAAGATTAGCAACATCATTGCAACAAGTTTACGAACTTAATTATCAGACCTCAGTATATTTCAAAGCCTCAACATTCAAACTTTTTGCAATCAGTAGGAATAATTTTTGAAAACCTAATTTTATCTATTGCTTTGATGTCTTGATTATTAGTAAATGTTTCTGCTCATTTGAGTATCGATTGAAACATTTTTTTTGTATCAGTAATGTTTTCTTTTAAATAGCAAAAGCATTCATTATGTGAAGAATTTGCGTGAAATATGTGCATGAACATTTGTGGCACCTGCTAAACTCTCCCTGAAGGTGCCTATACAATAACATCTTTTTGTGTTAACAAGAAAATTCTTGTTTAAAAAAGATTTCCAGCTGCTGTACATAGGTTAGGATATAAAAAGCAACGATAGGATCCTTTGTAGACAGGATCCCCATCCCCAGAGTGGACCACATAGATGAGCAGAATTACCTGCAGGAGGATTTCTGATAGGACCTTACCTCATCAAGGACATATATGTAGGGCACATATTATGCCTGCACTTTGCCATCTGGTGTTTTGAAAGGCATGTCATATACAATATTTCCTATAACTGCTATTCCTCCAAGGTTAGGTTGTCAGAAAATTGACCCTCAGGTTCAACCCAATAGTTGGCAATGAAAAAGGGGTTCCTAAAGAGGAAAGTTTATGGCACCTGTGTTGTTGTCAACATGAGCCCAAAGAACTCTTAGGTTCCCCAGATGTTTATCAGATGGCTTTCTGGAAGTGGGGGAGCTATTAGACGAACTGCACTCAAAACACTAACACTTGTGAAACGGGCTCCAGAAATTAGGTGACTAACAGCCTAAATCAAGAAACAGCTGTATGTACTGCAAGACAAATGGCACGTGGGGCAGTACATGGTGGTGGTGGTGGGGGGTGTTCCCAGGCCACTCAGAATCAGGACGAACACTAATAGAGAATGTTGGCAGTTATAGATGTATTTGTCTTTCTCTAGCAAATCAGAGGAATAAAAAGGTCGTGAGAAAGATGCCACCTCAGTAGAAGAGAGTGGCCCATGTGAAACTTGCTAAAAACAGGAAATTAAACTGGGAGTTATGCACACAATCTGTACTCCAACTATAGATATTACTAGAGAATTCCTCACCAGTAAAAGTGGGCACAAAACAATTTACAGACCAAGCCAGCCACTCACCGTACCTATCAAAACTAAACAGGTCTTACTCTGAGGAACAGTGAAGGAAAAGAACTTCATNGAGGACAGAGAATGAGGCTTAAAGGGGATTGCCACGTGCAATAGGCAGTGGGTAGGTGGAAGATGTTCAAGGACAATGTCAGAAGCATCTAGTAGCTGGCAAATGGATCACAGACAATCAAGGATCATCAGAAAATCCTTATGAGTCCTAGTAGCTGTCTGGATGTGGAAGGAGTGCAAGCTCATAGGCTAGGAGTCATGGGGAAACTCCAATGTCTAAAAGGAAATTGAGGGTCAATGGGGAGAAACTGACAACAAGACTGGCCTCCTGCTCACCTGTCAGGCTAGCTGGAAGGGAACTTGAGCAGTGGAAACGAAGGCAAGAAGTCCTTAGGTGATGAGAAAGTGTAACTTGATGCTGTGTTTCCAGGTGGTAGAGTCATTATTTCCCTCCTTGTTTATGAAGTTTGAGTAGGAACCAACCTGGGGTGTGTGTGGCGTGGGCAGGTGGTGGAGATTGACAAGCGGGTGTGGAAGGAAACAGACCACATAGCTTTGTTTGCTCCTATCTCAGCACCGCAGAGCGGTGTCAGGTCTTTACGGTGGTTCCTCCCCAACCTCAGAGGCCTCTGTCTGTGTCCTCCCAGCAGTACTGGGGACAGACAAAACTTCCTCAGCCTTCTCTGCGAGACATCCAGTTCCATGACTGTATCTATCCCACTGGGAAGTGCTGGTAGTCTTGCCAAAATATGTCCAATTTTTAATAACCAGCATCTGTTGAATTTAATTAAAAAATGTGTGCGTTATCTCTGAATGGTTTCTCTTCTGTTATGTTTGAATGCCCCCAACAATAGTACATTCACATAGACTGATGCTGTTTTTATGATATGCCCTGTTTATAAAGTGGGAAGAACATTTAAACGTATGGTTTCCAACCCTCCATTGTGAACAATGGACGGGGGCCCTCTACTGGGTATTTTGCTTTCTGCAGTTAGTTTAGCAAAGGGACCCTTTCTGAACTTGTAAATTTAAACCCAAAATTAAAACTTATAAGATTGATTAACTATGTATATCATCCTAAGATGAATGGTCAGTATAAAAATTTTCCTGTTATGTGCTCTTTTAAAAGACTTGAAGACTTGCACTAACATTGTAACTATACATATAAAAATTCAGTAAATATAATTTATTGCAGTTTTTTATATTATTAAATGCTTTACTTGTTGGTACTTTATTATGATATAGATATTGTAATGATGATGCCTAGACTACTTTTAAATATAATCTTTGACTCTTGTCCTTTAATATTATAGATTTGTTTCTTTCAGCCCCTTCCTTTTTTCTTTTTTGAAAGCTGTAGAACCTTCTTGAAAGAAAGAAAGAAAGAAAGAAAGAAAGAAAGAAAGAAAGAAAATAATGTAGAATCCAATTTGCTAAAAAAGATTACAACATAGGACTGAGGGGCCCTTCCCCTTCACCATCCTTGGCAGTGGTTGAGGAACTTGCAGAAATCCCAGTTTGAAAACAATTGCCTTAAGTTGCAAAAACCAGCTCTTATAGAAGACCCTACCAAATGATCTCCTTCTGACAGCTGGCCCAAGGGATGCTCTGTTGATATGGAGAAGCACATTATTTAATACATAGGGGGTTTTGTTTGTTTGNGTTAAGTGTAAAGGATAGAATTCATACAGCAAGAAAAGTGTGTGTTTTAAAAGTTACTTAAAAAAATACTCCTGGTATGTACTCTACAAATGACATAATGAAATAAAAAAGAAATACACATCAAGGTTATAGAAAACAGAGGAACAGTCCAGATGGGAGGAGACTAAGAAGACATGACAACTAAATGCCATGTGGGGCTGTGGATTGGATCCTGGACCAGGAAAAGGATGTTCATGGGAAACTGAAAAGATTTGTATGAGGTCTACAGAGTGGTTAAGTATGATATCAATGTTAGCCTCCTGGTTGCAATGATAATTGTACTGTAGTTATGAAAGATGCTAACCTTGGGGGAAGTCCAGGGGAGGATGTATGGAAGAACTGTGTGCTACTTTCAAAAACTTGTTTCTAAGTCTAAAATTATTTCTAAATAGGAAGGAAGGAAGGAAGGAAGGAAGGAAGGAAGGAAGGAAGGAAGGAAGGAAGGAAGGAAGGAAGGAAGGAAGGAAAGAAGGGGCATACAGAACTTGGAAACTTGGAGGGACTTCCGAGAGCCTTTGGCGCTCATCTGAGGGGTGTACATTTCATATTGTTAATCATGAGGCGCCCTGGAAGGAGTCCCGCCCAGGAGAGAGCTGATCAAATCTGCACTTAGGCAAGCCTACCTGCTGCTGGGGGGGACTGAGACAGGGAGGAGGCAGCTGAAGGAGGAGGGGAAACAGGCCTGCTTTCCCCTTCAGTGTGGAGCAAGACAGAGGGCTGTTTTCCAGCTGACCGCTCTTATAAGCGCGACCAGGTCTGCGCGCTGGGGGCGGGAGCCTGGAGGCGTGGTCCTCAGCTGGGGAGCGCCTGGGCTCGCGGCGCGCCAGGAGGCTGGCAGGAAACGTTGGCACCTCCCCCTGCCGTGGCCACTACCGCTCCTCCGCTCCCTCGTCCTTCCGCACGACCTGCGTGGGCAGAAAGCGCCAGCAGGAGCCCAGCCACCCTCCACCCCTTCTGGTCTGCCGGGCGCCCAGGTACTCAGACTTGGCGGAGTTCATCCCACAAAGGCCATAGGCCTCGGCAAGAGGGCTGATTTAGATCCTAGGGAGTTGTTCCTTTCTAGTCTTTAAAGATCCCAATCTAGCTTAGAGGAGGCTCTGTTTCGTGAGAAGCTGGTTGGAAAATCCAACATGCTTTGCTGGTAGGTAGCCTGGTTGTTCGTGGTCACTTCTTTGTTTCACACTAGTGTCTGCTGTCACACACGCAGACAGACCACACTTTCAATGTCCCTGACGCCACTGAATAGGGCATTTGGGCCTCATTGATTTAACACCTGTGGAAAGTTTATGATGTGCTGCAGAACACACTCGCGGCCTTGTTCTAAAAATTAAATCTCGTTTGAGAGGGACCCAAGAAAGAGCTATGAGCGTGTTCATGGACAGTTAACGTGTGCGATGAAAAAAGGGGATCAAATATATGGTGAGAACTGATTCTGGGTAGTGAACACACAATGTGATATATAGATGATGTATTACAGAATTGTACACCTGAAACCTATGTAACTTTGCTAACATTTGTCACCCCAATAAACTTTAATTAAACAAAAGAAAGAAAATAGAACACTCCATAATACTTCAGAAAACAAACAACTATTTTTAAGAAACTGTAACTCCTAACAGTCTTACCTTGTTTCAGGATTATTGGGAGAGTAAGAAGTTTGGCTGTAAGCATTTAGCCGAGCCCAGCATGATGAGTCCCTTAAGTGACGTTGGGGCCTCTCCAATATAGGGGACAGTGCATAAGCCAATACTGCTGAAGGAACATTTCTACGGTACATTAAGATGCTGCTTGAATGCATAAACAGAAAAACATTATTAAAATTTCCTCTGAAATATTTCTATTTTTCTTCCCTTTTTCATGTGATAGTGGATAAATGGCAGGCAAAAAGCGAGAAATCCAGTTACAGGTGGGCATAACATATCAACAGTTCTTTACTTGGTGCATTGGCACGTGAACAGAATGTACAGCCCTTTCCATTTTGCAGGCAGTCATCAATAACCAAAGCCTGTGGGATGAGATGTTGCAGAACAAAGGCCTAACAGGTACTGGGGCTCCCCTGTTGTCCAGCTAGTTGGAGTTTGGCCCTGGACACTTCATGGCACCCCAATGCAGAGCACAGCTCCCTACTTCCAGTGTAAAACCTTGCTATATCTTTGCCCTTGTCCCTGCCCCAGCACTGGGCTGAACTGCTATTTTACAACCTTTGACACTGCTCTTTCATAAATATCTTCTAGTGATTGATGTGTATCAAGCCTGGTGTGGACCTTGCAAAGCCATGCAAACTTTATTCAGAAAATTGAAAAATGACCTAAACGAAGATGAAATTCTGCATTTTGTTGTAGTAAGGATTTCATATCTATTAAACTGTTGTTTCGTGTTGCTTTAAGTGTTGAAGTATTCTCTGTAAGGATGGTCTTAATTTAAACAACCTGTCAGCTCTTCTAAATGGACAGTGTTTAGTTGGTAGTTTTACTACATATTTAGTTTTACCAGATCTGAGAA